TATAGAATTGTCAAGGTAATGTCATTGCAAGCCCACAGAGAGTGCATTATGATGTCAAAATGGAAGGAAACAGTATTAATGGATGGAAGCAAAGCCTAGACAGAGCAGTGCTGTGTTGCTGTGGTTTTAAAAGCTTTGTGACATGATGTCTAGACAGAGGCACACTCAGTAATGCTATCACTGAAGCAAGAGTACAAAAGGTACACAGGACCATTCATTAAATCATAACCTTCTAGCCATTATCAATGTGACCAGAGGTTGCTCGTATCATTCCAATGCATTTCTAAATGTAGTTTATTTTTGCTGATTATGAAAGTAATGCTTTCTCATTAAAGAGAACATAGAAAAGATAATGAAAGAAAAAATGGCCCAGTTCCTCCCAACGTTAATATTTTTTTCATATTTCCTTTCACTCTTTATTTTCATAACATAGCTGAGGTCACACTGAGTATTGCATTTTATATCCTGTTTTTCCACTTGATATTGCAGTGGAAATGTAAACTATGTATGACTGTTCCACTCGCCTAACATCAAACAATTAGATTATCGAGCGCCCAGTTTCTCTGTATTCTAAGTTATTTATTGACGATATATCCTGCAGAATGGGATGGCTGAGTTGAAGGATAGAAGTGATTTTAAAGCTTATGACACATATGGCCCAATAGCTTTCCAAAAGAATTGTATCAATTTTTCAATTACTTAAGGAACCATTAATAAATCTGTGGCCTAGAAAATCCTGGCAAATAGTTTTAAAGCATCTCCCAGCTACTGAAAATCTACTCAAGCAATGATACACTTACTAGACAGCGCTAGGATTCAGGAGGCTTTGATTCTAGTCTTTCGTTGGCATGTACGTTGCTGTGCTACTATAGTCAAGTGTGTTTAACTGTCTGGCTCTTAGTTTTTTCCTCTGCAGAATCACACAAGTCAACACAGTGCTGCTGCAGGGCTTCTTAAAGTGTGCTCTGTGGAGTACTCGTCCCTGAGAGGTGCCGCAGAGATGGAGAGGAAAACAGAAGTTGCGTGGTCAGATACACGTGGATAAATTGCATACACCATACTACTTTTAGAGATTTAAAATGCCCAGTGACATATTAAAGGCTCGGAGAAGTTTGCATTTTCATCTACTTAACCTAGCCTTGACCCATTTTTTTTAACACGTGCCATTTTTTCAGGTAACCTCTGTAAGACTGTGGCACACATTTGAAGAAACACTGATATAACAGAAAGGGGTTTAGGTCCAAATAACATGAATTTAAATCCACTTCCTGCTACTTACTGAACTTCAATTTTCTTATAGCTGAAAAGGCAGGGATAATCAAAACTTGTGAAACTGTTTTCAATCATGTTTGTACATCCCTAAGCACAAGCCAAACATACACATGAGTTTATCTCCAACCTTCTCACCACACGTGCTCACCAAACCTCTCCATCTTTGTCAAAATGCATTGAAGCCTGCTTTTCACTGGGCTGCAGACTGCTGAGGTCCTGCCCATTTGCCTTTTTAAATCGGGTGGCGTACTGGGCAAAGGGCATAAAACCTGGAGGTGAACCCACAACTTGCAAGTCCAGTGCTCGACCCCAGATTGTTGTCACTCCAGCAATTAGATCACAAAATAATGAATTAGCCACCAGTCCTGAACGAGAAGGTCGGAAGCTCTAACCCTGATTATTGCCAGGGGTTCAGTTGGCTCAGCTTATATTCAGAGCAGATTGTCACTAATTATATCATCTTGAGCCAGTTCCATTCAGTTGCATGGAATTACATCATGAAACTGAAGTAATTCAAACTTGACTTTGGAAGTGCTGAGTCTCCCGTGACCTCCCCGTTGCTAAATCCAGTGGAAAGCTCTGCGGGTTGTCTTACCTGCTCTCTGGAGCCAACGTTTCCTTCCTGAAATCTCTCCTCTCTTGAACTTCGTTCGCATCGCACGTCCGTGCTCCCTTCCTCCTCGCTGCCTCCCCCTCAGTGGCCAGTCCTCTCTGACCGCTCTAAAGACTGGAATTCCTCAGGGTGCAGGCTGACCTTTCTTCTCTCTCGTTCTGCTTTTCTCGCTCTTGAGAAAGTGAGATCCGTTTCCTGCGCCTTGCATGCCATCTGTATCAACGCCCCTAAATTTAGATCTTCAGCTGGGCCCTGCCCTCTGAAATCCTGTTTGGTCCATCCGATCTCCCATTTTATGTCTCCGTGAGGTGTCCCTCAGGCAAGGCACACTTAATGGCTCCCAATATAAATTCTTGGTTTCCTCCCCTTAAGCAGCTCCCCTGTTGTCCTACAGCAGTAAGGGGGTGACCATAACTGCTCCAGCCGGTCGCCTGCAGCGGTCTCTGCCCCTCCTTCCCCCAGCCCCCACACCCAGGCCCTGGGAAGTTCTGTCCATCTTACCGTCAAGGTGATCTCCACTGCCTTCCCTCCCGCCTGACCGCCCTGTCCTGATTCCAGGACCTTCATCTCCCTCCCGATTACTGCCGTGGGCTCCAGGGAGACCTCCCACTTCACCTTCCTCTAGGCCAGTGGTTCTCAACCTGTGGGTCGCCACCCCTTTAGGGGTCGCATGACCCTTTCACAGGGGTCGCCTAAGACATAAGAGTAGCAAAGTTATAGTTATAAGTAGCAACGAAAATAATTCTATGGCTGGGGGTCACCACAACATGAGGAACTGTATTAAAGGGTGACGGCGTTAGGAAGGTTGAGAACCACTGTGGCCACAGGGACGATTTTTTTAAATTAGCCATCAGATAATATCCCTCTTTTATAAGACTATTCAATATTTGTTTGTTTGCTACACATAGACTAAAACCCAAATTCCTCATCATGGTGCCCTAGGCCCTGGTGATCTGGCCTCTGCCCCTCTTAGACATCCTCTTGGCACAGTCCCTGCTCCTGTGCTTTGCCCATCCTTCGGACATGTCCACGCACACGACTAGCCTCTGCCACGGCGGGGCCTCACCACGCGCTGATCTCTCCGTTCTCCCCGCTCCTCCGTGGCTCAGCTTCCACGCCACCCACAGGGACCCCCCCACCCCCGGATGGCTCCTCCCTGGCTCAGCTTCCACGCCACCCACAGGGAGCCCCCCACCCCCCGGACAGCTCCTCCCTGGCTCAGCTTCCACGCCACCCACAGGGGCCCTCCCCCCCCCCCCCATGCAGACTGCTCTGCTGCCCTCCGGCAGAGACCCTATTTGTTTCCTTCGGAGTGTTTATCACGCATTTCCCTGAAAAGCTTGGTTTACGTGTTTGTTGACTGACTCTCACTGCACTGTAAACCCTTCGAGGGTAGACACATCACTGGCTCAGTTCACCACGTGGCACTAGCATAGCTGGGATATTTACTAAGGCCTCGTGTGAACCTCACATTGAAAACACGATACACCTCTACACTCTAATGATACTTTGACTTTCGTCCGCCCATGTCTACATTCGCTTAGGATAAAGCCTTTATCGAAAAATGGTGGGGTTTTCTGGGGAAAACATTTTAAAACAACAGTGATGGTGTAAGATTTTACTTGGGGAAAGAAGAAAGGGAGTCCATCGTTAAATTATTTTAAGAGTTTGAAGTCACTGACCGAGCTCAAAGATCCATGCCAACTGGCACATTATAAATTTGTTCTACTTCATGTCAACCATCAGAGAGAACGAAAATCCGCCCCAAACAACAGTAACAGCCACACAACAGCGCTGGCAACAGCTTAGACTGCTCACTGAGGACCGGCGTTATTCTCAGCACTGCCCATGCCTCCGATTCTTCCTCTTGCTTCCCTCCCTTCCGATAGCTCAGAAAACCTAAACAACTGGCCTGCGCTCACCCGCGCACGCAGACGCCGGCGTCAGAATTTGAGCCCCTCGTTATTTCGCCACGAAGTTTTCTGTTTCCAAAGCCAGGGTCAGACACACTGGCCTTAGACGGGAAGACCTCGTGATTTCCCACTTCAGCACTTTGTAAAATATTTAATTGGTTCTCTTTTGCCTTGACTTCAAATTTGCCTCTTCACTGGTCTGTCTTATTTGATAAGTTCATCAAACATCAGGACTCTTTGCTCATTTCCAACAAGGATCACAATGATAAGCTTTTATAATTAAGAGCATCTCCGCAGAGAGTCCCTTTACCACCGTTCCCTCGCCTTTATCTTCTAATTATTAGAGATGATTTTTTTTTATTTTGTTCAAAATTGTATTTGCTTTAAATACAAGTTGCAAATTAACTGCTTATAAAAATGCCTTCCTCCCTTCTGAACTGTTACTTAAAGAAAATCTCTCTTGCGCTAGCATTTAAAAGCAATAATGATTTTAAATGGAATCATCCAACAAGAATTTGAATAAAATAACTGTAATTACAATCTTCAATGTTTGGGAGATAGGGACTGCTTTAAAGCTGTCCCAAAGGTGAAATAAGGAGCTGTTTAAGTGCTACAAAATACTTAACATTACGACATAAACAAAAAAAAACCATGAGGCCAGGTTAGAAAATTCAAGGAAACGGACTAGGCAAAATGCAAGGTGCAGTGCAGACGGCGCTGCCATTCATTATCCCACAGCAAAAGGTAGACTCGTTTCTAGGAAATGACCCAGCATCTCTCCAGTCCCTCGCCTTTCCCAAATTATTTTATATACATTATCTAAATGTATCCTACCCAAACACTGTGAGATAGATATTCTTATGATTCACAAATGGATAAGCCCATTCACAAATGGACTGTCCAATGTTACTCAAGAGAACTACTATTTATTAAGCTAAGTATATGTCATATCCCGGATCCTATTTCATGTTCATTAACTCCTATAGAAGAGGCATTATTATCCTCATTTTACAGAGAAGACAACTGGAGCTCAAAGAAATGATGTACTCCAGCTCCCCCAGCTCCGGAGAACTAGAACTGTGATTTGCACACACAGAGGTCACATTCCAACCTGAAATAGCCTATTACAAACAGAAAATTGTCTCAGTTCCCTACCAGGTGACCCTGTGTGCAAATCTTGCAGAGACATATGGCTGACTCACCGGTTCACCATCTCCTCGATGGTCACCCCAGGCAGACAAGTCATTAAAGACAAGATGAAGAAAGCAACAGCAAACATCTCATCCAGAAGCCACCGGCCTATGTCACCTAGAAGGAATTAGAGGATCTGTTCAGGGAATTGGAGAAAAAGATGTCTCCAGGCTGAGACCCATAAGAACTAATGATTAAATCTAACAGAACTCTCTTGATTCTCATTCAGATGTGGTTAATTAGTTACTAGGGTATTGATTAGCCAAACATCCTAAAACCCATAACACCAAAGGCCACTGTCCTTAAGTCCTTTTGAAAAACAATAGCCATAAGGTATTTATTGAACCAATACCAGCTGAGCAAAGGGATCTTATTTTCAGAAAGAGGCATAAGTCAAATCAAGATACAGTTTCAGAATTCATGGTCTTTCTCAGTGGCTCTTGGAAACTGAGGTCAGATCGATGTGTTTTGCAAGACTGAAACAAGGCTAACACTGACCTATCAGCTCAGCCATAGACAGCCAGCAAAACTTAGAAAATGCTGACAGTTACATGGAGGTTCTCCAATGCACCATCAAACCTCTGCAGCCCGAGAAATGTGGGTAACTCAGTGGACTTTCCACTATTATCCAGACATTTGATATCCTTAAGATCCAGCATATTGGTGTCTTGAGGAGACCAGATGCCTTAAATGGATATCTGCAGCAGCATACTCCAGAACTATAGTAACAGCTCCACATCTGCCCTGATGATACCATACTTACACTCACTCTCGGACTCTTCCAGTCATGTTGGGTATCTCATAATGCTTTTACTGCAGATGTGGGTGTCATGAGGGTGTCACATCTAGGTACCCTTAAGGCAGCTCAGGGTGGTGCGTCTGGAGCCCACAAACTCCCTAGCCATCTCCCTCCCTCCCTGTCTCATCCACAGTCCAGGTTCCTGAGACAAGTCCACAGACCCACTCCCCACCCCTTCTCCGGGGAGTATAGCTCAGGTCTTCCTCCACCAGGTCTGCTGCTTTTCTCATGTGGGCAGACCTCACCCTAGAACAGTAGTCTCAACAGGAGTGATTTTTCTCCCGTTGGGGATATTTGGCAATGACCAGAGACGTTCATGGTCGTCACAACTTTGGGCTGTGCTACAGGCATCTAGTGGATAGGGACAGGGATGCTGCTAAATGTCTTACAGTGCACAGGATAGCCCCAGCAAACAGTTCGCTGGCTCAAGTGTCAGTAATGCTGAAGCCGGGGAATGCTGCCCCACGAAAATGCCTGGCCTCCCTTCCCTTGGCCCTGGCCATTCTAGTGAATTCATTTTCTTCTTTTATCGCATAGGCAATATGCCTTCCTTCTCAGCCCAGCTCCTTCTTGAGATTTCCCTGATGCCTTCTCTTCACCCAAGACCTCAGCAGCCCCCGGTCCTCCTCCTGAACCTCTACTCGCCTGTCTCATCCTTCACCCCTCCACGTGGTCACTTGAATTCGACCCTATTTCCACTGTACTATTTTCCCTCCAAGCTTCTCTCCTCCTTCTCGCTGCCCTCGATCTGTCTCACAGCCGTGGCTCTCTCTCTGAAATGATCATAAGAGACTCCCAGTGGCCTCTGCTTCTCCTCCCTCCACGCTTCCCAGTTCATTGTTGCTGAATTCGTCCTCAAGAAAACTGCTTCTGACAACGTCCCTCTTCTGCTCAGGAACCTTCCGTCGCTCCCCACTGTCTATAAAATTAGAATCCCAATTCCTCCAGAAATGGGTCCAACGCTCTGTGCAGCCCTCTGAACCACAACCCTCTGATCATCGCCCGCACTGCAGTCAGATCTCCCTTACCTTCCTCACGCTGTGAGACTTCCTTCAGCCATCAGCTCTTCCCCTCTGTCAAGTGTCTTCTCAAATAGCAGGCCCACCATGGATCCTGGACTGAGGGCTCCGTCTGAGCGGTATTTTTTGTTACCTTGAACCTCATAAACACTTATGAGCACTTTTCTCTTTTACCTCAGATTATGTTTTTCTAAGGAAGTGGGGGGGGATAGCTTGAGAATAAAAATTTCTCTAGGGTAAATTCTGTGTCTGGTTCTTCTTCGTAAACATCATCTCACTTAAATCTGGATCATTAATAAGAAATATTTGTTGATTGAGTGAATTAGCAAATGAATCCATTAAAAAGAGTTTACTATTTTATAATACTTTCAGCTATAGTTTCTCATTTAATCCTCAAAATAATCTTGTAAAATAAATATCATTATCATGCCCAGCTGGTGTGGCTCAGCTGGTTATCTCCAGGCACCGAGAGGTCGCTGGTTCGATTCCTGGTCAGGGCACATGCCCAGGTTGTGGGCTTGATCCTCAGTGGGGAGCGTGCAGGAAGCAGCCAATCGATGTTCTCTCTCATCGATATTTCTATCTCTTCCTCTCCCTTCCTCTCTCTCTTTCTAAGCTCAATAAAACATATTTTTAAAAACATATCATCATCATGAGGAGAATCGTGAGAGTCAGCGAGATGGTGAGTAAGGTGGAAAATGGCAGCAGATATATCGATTACCACCCTGTGCCGGCCACATCACATGATTTATAAAATAAAATTTAATCTGACTTCACAGTAATCTTGCAAGGCCAGTAATAACAGTTCTGCTTAGAAGATGAGGACATTGACTTTAAGAGTGGTTAAGTCACATGCCTGCAATCACAGCTGGTGAGCCTCAGAATCATGAATTTATAATCTGTCCAACTTCAACCCTGAGATCTTTTCTGGTCTGATCACACAACTACTGCACTACTAAGAGTGTATCAGAACAAAGGCCTGGGTCTTCGCCCTCCAAGTCCAGTTGTCTGCCTGTTATGCCTTAGCTCAGAGAACAGTAGCATTTCCAGGGAACAGAGAAAGCAAAGTACAGTGAATAGAGAGATAATCACAGGATAGAATCAAAAGAGAGGAAGCTAAATCAGATAGAATTATTCTGCCTCTATGACTAAGTATACATGCCGTGGTGTGTGTGTGTGTGTGTGTGTGTGTGTGTGTGTGTGTGTGTGTGTTGGGATAGAGGTGGATTACTCATCTGCTTTGAGCCAGAATGTTCTAAGATGAATGGGAAATGCCAAAACATTTTTAGGTTTGCATATGTGGATTTCACCTTAATTGTAGCATTCTGTTATCAAAGATAGATAGTTATAAAAATACCATACAGAACAGACAACAAGATGCCAATCCATTTTGAAAATGCATTGCCTGTCTCAGGGAAACACTTTCCACTGTCTAAATCAGCCCATGAGTTATGGCCTCAGAGTGGCGTGTGCGTCCCGTGCTGCCCCGGACTGCCACTGCAGGGACACATGGGTCTGTGCTCTCTGGGGAGCTTTCCATGTTCTACACCCCGTCTCCCGTGCTGGGCTGCTGCTTGCCCGATTCAGCCCGGAGATCAAGCGTCTGCAAGTCTCACGCAAAGGGAGGCGATTCGCTAGAATGGAAAGAACTTAGCTGTAGGTCAGAAAGTGCCACTGACCAATTATTGTCTCCTTGCCTCAGTTTCTTTAGCTCTAAAGTGGATAAAACAACACCTCTCAGGATAGAATTGAAAAGCTGAAGACTAAATGAGGAAATCTATCCTCAGCTGGAAATTTTGAACAGTTGTTACTAATTTATTTCAATTTCCCCTTCTGTCCGCTCCTCCTCCCGGTATCTATTTGTCTTCTTTCACAAGCATGGGCACTTTCATTTAATACAGTGAAGGGGGGAAGCAGACGAAAGAAGGGGCCTGACAGAGAGATTAATGGAGGAGGGCGGGATGTGGGAGGTCCCCGTCTAGGTGCCTGGGCCGATGTTGAGCCTTCTAGAGGGAGGATGCTACCTGCAAAAGCTAAGAGAATTGGTTCAGTGGTAGGGCCCAGGTGACAAAGTGGTCCAAGGGCCCACATCCCCTTGTCTGCCCAGGTTTGAGTACCATGCCAGCACCTCAGGGTTGAAAAGTTTGGGAGCAACTCAGTGTAGCACCGTCAGCCTGGACATGGCCAATCCCACAATAGCTAGAAGCAGACAGAGCTTCTCCAGGAGCTTGTGGTTGGCAGGACACACAGATGGCGGAACAGAGTTTTGTTTTTGTTTTTTGTGGTACATGCCCCTAGCGGGAACCGAACCTGGGATTCTCTGGTCCGTAGGCTGATGCTCAACCGCTGAGCCAAACTGGCCAGGGATTGTGTGTGTGTGTGCAGAGCAAAGTTTTGTGAGTTTGTTTGAAGAATCTCTCCAAAGCAAGGGTGTGTGTGTGTGTGTGTGTGTGTGTGTTAGGGCTGCTCCCTCATTTGAAAAACCTGCAAAATAGTCAACACAACACCCAGCACTGTGTGCAGTCAGGAGAAGAGCATGCCCTGCCCACTGCCTTGTGTTCCCCTGTCCCCCCTCAACCCTTTGTAAGACTGCATGCCTATGATATCCATTTCCTCCTGATTGCGTTCATCAGTCCCAGGCTGTGGCCAACACATATTAGCGGTGGCTTTTCTTGGCTGGAAATGAAGTACAGCTGTTTAAAGTAACTGGTCTCAGTCAGAGGTTTCGCAGGGACGGGCGAGTGCATGCCTGCTGCCTGCTGACACTCTGAATTTGCACCGAAGGCGTGAGCTGAGAGGAGTCAGTGGCTCTTCTCCCCATTAGCATAGAAATTAAAGACCTTCGTTCAAAGAAGGCATTGACTATTGTAAGCAGCTCTGGCCAAATCTGGGTGGTCCTTTAAGAAATTCCTCTTGGAATTTGGCTGCAATAATAACCAGAGTCCATTTTACACCTGAGCAAGTTCTCCAGGCTTCATCAGTTGATCAGTTGTCTTCTCTGTAATGCCTTTGTCCAGAGCACAGTGCAGGCATGCACTCCCTTGTTCGCACAGCACCTGCCCACACCCCTCTCTGTGAGACCACCAACCTGATGGTTTGTGATTCATCCTACCTGTGATTTCCCTGAACTTATAGAAGGCAGGGCTGTGCTGGCCTAGAGTCGCACCTCATATGTGAGAGAGCCCAGAGAACAACAGCCCTGCAGAGGTGTGAGAGTCAGCCCTGGAACTACAGCCCCACAGAGGTGTGAGAGTCAGCCCTGGAACTACA